TATTGTGTGTAGTTTGGATTTCCTTATTTGAAGAAGGATGTTCTGACGATGGAGGGAGTTCAGCAAAAGCTTACTAGACTGATTCCTGAGATGGTAGGACTGATATAGGAAGAGGGACCAGATCAGTTAGGATTATATTTTCTCATTGGAGCGAAGAAGGATGAGGGGTGACTTGATAGAGGTGTACAAGATGATGACAGGCATAGATAGAGTGGATAGCCAGAGACTTTTTTTCCCAGGGCGGAAATGACTATTACGAGGGGACATAATTTTAAGGTGATTGGAGGAAGGTAAAGGGGAGATGTCAGAGGTAGGTTCTTCACACAGAGGGTGGTGGGCGTGTGGAATGCGCTGCCAGCAGTGGTAGTGGAGTCAGATACTTTAGAGACTTTTAAACGACTCTTGGATAGGCACATGGAGGATAGTAAAATGTAGGGTATGCAGGGTAGTTTGATCTTAGAATATGATAATAGGTCGGCACAATATTGTGGGCTGAAGGGCCTGTACTGTGCCGTACTGGTCTATGTTCTATGTTCTAAATATTCAAAGTGAGTTTAGAAGAATGAGGGGGTTATCTCCTAGAAATCTATACAATTGTAACAGGACTAGACAGGAAGGATGTTCCCAATGACCAGGGAGTCCAGGACCAGGGGTCACAGCCTAAGGATACAGGGTAGGCCATTTTGTATTGAGATGAGAAGGAATGTCTTCCCCCAGAGAGCGGGGAACCTGTGGAATTCTCTGTCAAGAAAGTGGTTGAGGTCAAAACATTGAATGTTTTCATGAAGGTGTTAGACATAGTTCTTATGGCTAAAGGGAGGGGAGAAAGTGAGAACAGGGGACTGAGTTAGATGATCAGCCATCTTATTTTTCCCTTTTATTCATTCACGGGATGAGGGTGTTGCTGACCAGGCAGCATTTATTGCCCAACCCTGATTGCCCAGAGGGCAGTTAAGAATCAACCACATTGCTGTAGGTCTGGAGTCACATGTAGGCCAGACCAGCTAAGGATGGCAATTTCCTTCCCTGAAGGACATTAGTGAACCAGATGGGTTTTTCCTGACAATCAACAATGAATTCATGGTCATCATTAGGCTCTAAATTCCAGATATTTCATTGAATTCAAATTCCACCATCTGCTGTGGCAGGATTCGAACCCAGGTCCCCAGAATGTTATCTGGGTCTTTGGATTAACAGTCCAGTGATAATACCACTAGGCTATTGCCTCTCCTTAATGGGGGTGGGAGGGGAATAGGCATGAAGGGCTGAATGGCCTACTCCAGCTCCTGTATTCTATCTTTCTGTGTAATAGCAAGCAGCTGGTGTTGGTGTTGTGTAGGAGATTTATTTGACCTCAGCTGAAGTGTTGAGCGCTACAAATGGTTTACAAGAATGGAGGCAGGGATGAGAAACCTGGGTGAACAGATTGGAGAACTTGGGACTGTCCTCTGTGAAGGGGGAAGTTTGATAGATGCTTCCAGAATCCCGAGCAGTCTGGGCAGAGTGGGTGTAGTGAGAGACTGTTCCCATTCGTAAACGGATCGAGAATGAGAGTTTTAAGGTGTTTGGCAAAATGCGAGCTGAGAAAAGTCTTTTTCACACTGTGAGTAGTTATGGTCTGGAATGCACTGTCTGCAAACATGGTGGAGGCAGGTTCAACTTAGACATTGAAGACATCATTGGATGGTCATTTGAATGGAAATAGTAGGGATATGGGGGAAAGGTAGGGGAATGGCACTAAGTCACAATGGTTGTTCGGAGAGCTAGTACAGACATGATAGGCTGAATGGCTGCCTCCTGCATGGTAAGAATTCCGCGATTAAATTACAGCAAGTGACATAGGAGCAGGAGGTAATGAGATGATGAAAGGGAGGGTCATGGAGGAGATGGACAGGCATGACAGATCGGGTGAGAGGGCAAATCAGTGGCAGATACAGTATAATTTGGATAAACGTGAGGTTATTCACTTTAGATGCAAAAACAAGGCGGTAGATTCCTACCTGAATGGCTGCAAATTGGGAGAGGGGAGCGTGCAGTGGGACCTGGGTGTCCTTGTGCACCAGTCGCTGAAGGTAAGCATGCAGGTGCAGCAGGTGGTAAAGAGGGCAAATGGTATGTTGGCCTTCATTGTGAGAGGTTTCGAGTACAGGAGCAGGGATGTGTTGTTGCAGTTATACAGGGCCTTGGTGAGACCACACCTGGTATATGGTGTGTAATTTTGGTCTCCTTTTCTGATAAAGGATGCTCTTGCTCTCGGGGGGTGCAGTGAAGGTTTACCAGGCTGATTCCGGGGATGGCGGGACTGACGTATGAGGAGAGATTGACTAGGTTAGGATTGTTTTTGCTGGAGTTCAGACAAATGAGGGGAGATTTCATAGAGACTTATAAAATTATAACAGGATTAGACAGGGTAGATGCAGGGAGGATGTTCCCGATGGTGGGTGTGTCCAGAACCAGGGGTCACAGTATGAGGATTTGGGGTAGACGATTTAGGATGGAGATGAGGAGACATTTCTTCACCCAAAGAGTGGTGAGCCTGTGGGATTCATTACCACAGGAAGCAGTTGATGCCAAAACATTGAATGTAATCAAGAGGCGACTAGATATAGCACTTGGGGGTGAATGGGGTCAAAGGTTATGGGGAGAAAGCATGATTAGGCCATTGAGTTGGATGATCAGCCATGATCATGAAGAATGGCAGAGCAGGCTCGAAGGGCCGAATGGCCTCCTCCTGCTCCTATCTTCTATCAGATGAGGGTTGGGTTTTGACCGGATTGGAAGGAGGAAGAGGCGAAAGGATTATTGGAGGGAAAGTGAAGTGAGGGTGAGGGAATGATTGGTTAGGAGTAAGAGAATGGGAGAAGAGGCAGCCAAGTCAATGTTTGATAAAGATTGATTTTTACTTATTTCATGGGACATGGGTATCACTGACTGTGCCAGTATTTATTGCCCATCCTTAGTTACCCTTGAGAAGGTGGTGGTGAGCTGCCTTCTTTAACTGCTGCAGTCCTCCTGCTGTAGGTTGACCCACAATGCCATTAGGGAGGGAATTCCAGGATTTTGACCCAGCAACAATGAAGGGACAGCGACATATTTCCAAGTCAGGATGGTGAGTGGCTTAGAGGAGAACTCACATGGGGTGGTATTCCCAGGTATCCGCTGCCCTTGTCCTTATCGAATTGATTTGATTTGGTTTATTATTGTCACATGTACCGAGATACAGTGAAAAGTATTGTTTTGCATGCTATCCAGACAAATCATACCTTATGTAAGTACATGTTGCCAGGGTTGGAGAGTTTGAGTTATAACGAGAGGCTGAATAGGCCGGGGCTATTTTCCCTGGAGCATCGGAGGCTGAGGGGCGACCTTATAGAGGTTTATAAAATCATGAGGGGCATGGATAGGGTGAATAGTCTTTTCCTCAGGGTAGGGGAGTCCAAAACTAGAGGGGCATAGGTTTAAGATGAGAGGAGAAAGATATAAAAGGGACCTTAAGGGCATCTTCTTTGCGCAGAGGGTGGTGTGCGTACATAATGAGCTTCCAGAGGAAGTGGTGGAGGCTGGTACAATTACAACATTTAAAAGGCATCTGGATGGGTATGTGAATAGGAAGGGTTTAGAGGGACATGGGCCAAATGCTGGCAAATGGGACTAGATTAATTTAGGATATCTGGTCAGCATGGACTGGTTGGACTGAAGGGTCAGTTTCCGTGCTGTACAGTTCTATGACTCTATGACTTTATCAGGGTGATAGAACAGAATGCAGAATATAGATGCAAGTGGTCATGGGTTTGGAAGTGTAACTCCCTCATTATTGTTCTCTGTTCTTTGATTATAAAACCCAAGCATGCTGTCAGCGTTTTTTAATGAACTTCTCCTCATCTTGCTCTGCCTACATTATAGATTTATGTACATAGAACATAGAACATAGAATAGTACAGCACAGTACAGGCCCTTCGGCCCACAATGTTGTGCCAAACTTTTACCCTAAACCTAAGGTCTATCTAACCTCCACCCCTATCTTATACTATCATCCATATGCCTATCTAATAGCCGCTTAAATGCCCCTAATGAGGCCAACTCCACTACCCTCTCCGGCAATGCATTCCACACCCTGACCACTCTCTGAGTAAAGAACCTACCTCTGACATCTCCCCTGTATCTACCTCCACTCACTTTAAAACTATGCCCCCTCATAATAACTACCTCCACCCCAGGGAAAAGTCTCTGGCTGTCCACTCTATCTATACCTCTAATCATTTTGTACACCTCTATCAAGCCATCTCTCATCCTTCGTCGTTCTAGAGAAAAGCCCTAGCTCTTTCAATCTTTCCTCGTAAGACCTTCCCTCCATTCCAGGCAATATCCTGGTAAATCTCCTCTGCACCTTTTCCAACACTTCCACATCTTTCCTGTAATGACCAACACTTCCACATCTTTCCTGTAATGTATGTAGTTATATCTCCAAGTCTCGCACAATCATTACAACACACAAGAAGGCCATTCAGCCCTTAGCTTCATGCTAGCACTGTGTAAACCAAACCAGCAGTCCCATTATACCCACCCAATTGTAGCTTGGGAAGTTTATTTAGGTTTTTGTGTCCAGTCAGGTTGAGGGGTGACATTACACAGGTTTATAAAATCATGAGGGGCATAGATAAGGTGAATAGCAAAGGTCCTTTCCCTCGGGTGGTGGAGTCTAAAACTAGGGGGCACTTTTAAGATAAGAGGAGAAAGACTTAAAAGGGACCTGAGGGGCAACTTTTTCACGCACAGGGTGGTTCACATGTAGAGTGAGCTGCCAGAGGAAGTGGTGAACGTAGGTACAGTTACAACATCTAAAAGACATTTGGAAAAGTACATGAATAGGGAAGGTTTAGAGGGATATGGACCAAGCACAGGCAAATGGGACTGGTTTAGCTTGTGAAATTGAGTCGCCTTGGATGAATTGGACCAAAGGGTCTGTTTTCTATGCTGTATGCCTATGTGACTGTAAAAAATTGTTGTTCCTCATAACCCACCGCTGCATCTGTTGCCCAAGACCTTGAATTGCTGACCCCTTAAGTCCTTGTAGCATCAACTTGTTCCGTTCCCAAGTCCCCTTGAAATAGTTGACGTTATCCCTCGTCACATTTCCTTTGGTCCCTTTAGGCACCGTTGAGCTATGGCCCTGGCCCTCCTTCCTGACACACATTTGACATCTTTGCTTCCTCACCAGGCATATATGGAAGACCACTTGAAGATCAAGGACCGTCTGCACAAGGAGTGGGAGGCGCTGTGTGCCTATCAGGCTGAACCCAACTCGTGCACCATTGGACAGAGTGAAGTTAACATCAAAAAGAGCCGAAATCCTGACTTTGTTCCTTGTACGTATGAGAGATTGTGTGTCTGTATGTGTGTGTGAGTGTGTGTGTGTGTGTGTGGGAGGG